CGGCACTGTGAGTGCTGGGGGGGGGGGGCAGGGTAGGGGGGGTGTCACGCCCCTGTGAGTGCTGGGGGGGGGGCAGGGGTAGGGGGGGTGTCATGCACCTGTGAGTGCTGGGGGGGGGCTGGGGGGGATTATTGCTATACGCAGCGGGGCTGGGTTGGTACGGGGGAGGCATCGCTGTACAGCGAGGAAGGGGGGGTTGGGGCTCTGCGCTGTGTGGGAGCGTGGGGGGGGGGGGATTGTCAGTCTCTGGGGAAGCTGCTCCCGCCCTAACCTCTATTCTCCCCTCCCCTCCCCTCCAGGCAGGCGCTGGGCTCCAGGAAGACGGGCCGCTTCTTCCCCTCCCTGCTTTAGGCCTGGATGGCTCCGGCCCAGGCTCCGGCCACACTCCGTGGGGGAAGCGACGGGCAGACCAGGGTGGGGGCGGGGAAAGGGTCTTGAGCCTGGGGGGCAGGCTCTGGGCTTGGAGCCTGGGGTGGGACCTGGGGGGCAGGCACCAGCGCTCGCTGCACAGAGTGCTGGAGGGAACATGCACCAGAGCTGTGGGTCCCTGCCCCACGGCAGGGGATGCTGAGCTGGGCGTCTGGCTCCCCCGCTCCTGCTGTCCCCGTCTGAGCAGTCTGACGAGGGGGCAGCCAGGGAGCTCCCCGCTGTCCCGGGGTGGGTGAGGGGCACAGAGCACGTGGACCTGGGGGCTGATTTCTATTAAATGCGTCTGCAGATCCAGGCCTGGTGGTGTGTGGTGGGTGAGGGGGGTGTGTGTGTGTGTGGGGGGGGGGCACATGTGCCTATTCTGCCCTGGGGGGGACAGCAAGCAACCCGGTGCAGCAACCCCCAGGCCTGGCCATTCCTAGTCCTCCCCTGTCCTTCCCGTGGGGGAAACATGGGCCTGTCCTGGGGGGCAGGGATGTTACCCCTCAGTTCCCTGGGGTGGCAGGGGACAGGAGCTGGGGCAGGTTTGGGGTCACCCCCAGGGCTCAGCGGGTGGGTCTCACAGGTTGCTGGGGTGCAGGAATTTTTCCCCTAGGGCCAAGGAAGGTGAAGCCCCCACAGGTGGGGGGTGGGGTCACTGGGGGATTCTCAGTGAGGTGGGGTCTTTACAGCAGGGGTGGGAGGGAGCATGGGGGGGGGCAGGAAGCATGTGGGGCCAGATGTCAGAGGCCCTGCTGTTACTCCACCAGCAGCTGCAGTACTGCCCACTCCCTGCAGGGGGCTCTGCCTGCATCTCACCACAGCTCCCCCCCCCCCCGCCCGCTGGTCCGGCTGTGGCCAGGGAGCCTTGGCTGGGGGTGGGGGGCTGGGCTGGCTGGGCCCAGCCTGGCCTCCAGCGTTCTTGGCATGGAGGGACAAGCCCCCACCCCCTGCCAGCTCTAGCAGTGCCCCTGCCTGCTCCCTACATGTTAGGGGGCACCCCACATTTACCCTGCTGGGGGCTCCAGGTGTAACCTTCTGCAGGGTCTTTTCCTGGTGAAAGTGGCTTGCAGGGTAATTTTACTAACACTCCCCCACCAGCCTGCCCCCCCGGGCGTACAGGGCTCCCCGCTCTGAGCACCGGCACGGGGCCAGGCTGGGGCGGGCTCGTGGGGGGCTGCGTGTCGGGGTGAGCAGTGGAGTCTAGCAGTGCGGGGCTGGGGCTTGGAGGTGAGTTCGTGTTGTGTCTTCCAGGGTTTTCTCCTTCCCCCCGCAGAGCCGCTCGTACCCTGACCCGTGAGTCCTGCTGTGCGGCACCGGCACCGGGCCCTTCCCTAGAGTCTCACAGAACAATTCTGGGCCCGATCCGAACCGCCTGACACAATTCACCCAGCACAGCCCCCCGCCTGCATTGACTTCAATCTTGTCAAATTAATTATGCAACAGCCAGAAACAATCAAAGAACCGCCCGGCCCCCCTAGCCACACACCAGAGAAGTGGGGAGAGGGCTGCAAACTTCCTATTGGCACAAAACCAAACACACTAACCCTTCCCCAAGGCCCCCCCCCACTACATTTCCCCTCCCTCAGTGGCTCGCTCTCCCCCACCCCCCTCACTTTCACTGGGCTGGGGCAGAGGGTTGGGGTGTGGGAGGAGGTGAGGGCTCCGGATGGGGGTGTGGGCTTTGGGGGGCAGGAGGGGGCTCCAGGCTGGGGCATGGAGCCGAGGGATTAGGAGTGTGGGAGGGTGTGGCGGGTTGAGGCAGGGGTTGGGGTGTGGGAGGGATGGGGGCTCTGTGTTGGGGGTGCTGGCCCTGGGATGGGGCTGGGGGATTTGGAGTGCAGGAGGGGGGAGTGAGTTGAGGCACCGGGTTGGGGTGCAGGAGGGGGTGAGGACTCTGGGCTGGGGATCAGGGGTTCAGGGTGTGGGAGGGGGCTCTGGGATGAGGGTGTGTGTTTTGGGGTGAGGCTGGGGCTGATATAGTAATATTGTTTGTATTTGATATAATTTAAAATAAATATTACAGCCTGTATTCAATGTATTGGTGTATGAGTTAATCGTATCCTGCCAACCACCCTTTCTGAATAGCAGAAAGCAGCGATCGAATGGGCCATTGGTAAAAATACACCAGCCAGACTCTGTCTCTGGGCTGATTTCAAGGCAGTAACAGACCTTTGAGGGTCACCACTTTGTTGTAGGTTTCGCATTTTAAAATAAATAAAAAAATGCAACGATTGTTTTCTTGTGCATTGCAACGTAATGTTCCTGTTGACAGCGTTCGGTGTATCTCAGTTCTGGGTTGGGGTGAATAAGGAATGTGGGTGTTGAAAAATAAATGGAAAGGCTGTCGCTGAACCAAAGGGTCTTCAAAAACAACCCTGAAAGCAAATGCAAAAGGGCCAAAAGGCTGCAACCCGCCCCCATTAAAATGTCAAAAAAGCAAATTAACAACTCTAAAAATAAAACAGGCATCTCTCAATGAAAACCAGATTGCTGTGATCAAACCCAGCATGGAATAATTCCCTAACAAACGTCATAAATAAAAAAAACAAGATAAAGGAGGAGAAGAACAATTTAAGAAAACAAGCACTCGTCAAACAGCAATTGATTACAGCATGACAGTGCAAAACTCACGGGTCCCAAGAAAGGAAGATCACTATATAACCAGGGGCCCTTGCCATGAAACTTTAGGTTCATCCTGCTAAGACTTCCAGGGAGCATCATGTCGCGATCAACAGAACCCAGCTCCTCCCTACCGCTAATCAACCGAGCTGGCCACTAGATTGATCTGGACTGGCAATTATAACATCGAATGGCAGGAGAGAGAGAGACTGGATGCACGTGCTAATTGTTGGATGTCCAATAAATGCAGCGTGTTGCCTTCTCCCCTACAAAAAAATAAAAGTCCTTGTGCTTCTTATAAGCATAACAATGAGGGGTTTGGGATGCAGGAGAGAGCTCCAGGGTCGGGGGGGGGGGCGGGCTCAGGGCAGGGGGTTACGGTGCAGGGGTATGAGGGTTCTGGGCTGGGGGTGCAGGCTGTGGGGTGCAGGAGGGTGCTCCAGGTGGGGGGGGGCTCAGGGCAGGGGGTTAAGGTGCAGGGGTATGAGGGCTCTGGGCTGGGGGTGCAGGCTGTGGGGTGCAGGAGGGTGCTCCAGGTTTGTGGAGGCTCAGGGCAGGGGGTTGGGCCGCAGACTTACCGCGGGCGGCTCCCAGTCAGCGCAGCGGGGCTAAGGCAGGCTCCCTGCCTGTCCTGGCATCGTGCTGTGCCCCAGAAGCAGCCGGCAGGTCCGGCTCCTAGGGGGGGGCAGGAGGCGCCACTAAAGAAAAAGGCCTCGGACTTTACACGCCCTGCCATGTAGTACCCCCCCCATCCACCGCAGGATCCCCCCACCCCCACATGCACTGGGACACCACCAGCCCCCACCCCTGGGGCTGCAGTGGAGCTGCTGGGCTGTCCTGGAAGAGCCCAGGATGGACCCAGGGCTGGGGCAGGGCCCTGCCATCTCATCGCTGTTTACGGCCCCTCGGGCGCCCCTCCAGCCCGCGGAGCCCAGCCCCGGGCCAGGCCTGTCTGCCCAGCTCGCGGCACCTGGGGGCAGCCGGCAGGGATTTCTCTAGGGCGCTGGGGCTGTGGGGGGAACCTCTGGCCCCAGAGCTGCTCAGCAGGGCTGGCGGGTGTGATGAAGTGGGACTGTTCTTAATGTTTCCTCTGAATACTGTTTGGGTGCCTCAGTTTCCCCTATGCATTTCTTAAACCTCCAGTGTGCATAAATGGACGACACTCTGTATCCTAGCAACGAATGGATGCCCCCCCCCCCGCAAGGGGATAGCTAAAGGTGAACAAAGAGATCAGGTGACTTCCTGGCCAAAGAGACAAAGGGAGAGGAGGAGGGGCTGGAGGGGGTTTCAGTTTGGAGCTGGCTGGGGACTAGGAGTGAGGGCAGACGGGGGTTGTCTGGCTCCCTGGGCCCCAGAATGGACCCGGCTGAAGGGTCCTGTTCTCTGGACCTACGAGCTCTGTTTTAGACCATGTTCCTGTCATCTAATAAACCTCTGTGTTACTGGCTGGCCGAGAGTCACGTCTGACTGCGAAGTGGGGGGTGCAGGACCCTCTGGCTTCCCCAGGACCCCGCCTGGGCTGACTCGCTGTGGGAAGCGCACGGAGGGGCATATACTGAATGCTCCAAGGTCAGACCCAGGAGGTGAAGCCGTGTGAGCTTCTTGCCCTGAAGACAGTCTGCTCCGAGGGAGAGGAGGCTCCCCAGAGTCCTGCCTGGCTTGGTGGGGAGCAGTCCCAGAGCATCGCCCGGGGCCGCCGGGACAGCAGGTTCCTGGTGCTGCTGCTGCTGCCTGGGGATGCCGGGGGCTCCCAGGCCTGGTTCTCCAGCCCCCGCCCCTGGCCGTGGCCCGAGCAGCCCACGGGGGTGACAGCCTCTGGCTAGGGCTGAACACTCCTGGGTCTAGCTCTGGCTCAGGGCCCCCTCCTCAGCTCTGCTCCGCTGTCCTGCAGCCGCCCCCAGCTGGGCCCGTGGGCTGGCAAAGCCCAGCAGGCCTCGGGGCTGAGCAGAGGAGAGGCCGTAGGGCTGGGCTCACAAACGGCTCCTGCCCCACTTGGCGCCCGGGCCCAGGTGCCGCATCGGTCTCGCCTCCGGCACAGCAGGCTTGAGGCCACGTTCACCAGCTGGGCTCCTGCCAGCTGGCTCCAGGGCTCACAGCGTGTTAGCGCCAGGCCCCCGGCCACGCGGGTCCCGTGCCACGGGCTGGGCTGAGGCCAACCCGCAGAAAGCAGCCCTGAGGCTGGGGGCCGGGGAACGTCCCCTGGCCCGGGGGCTCGTAGTGTTCGGACCCGGGGTCAGGATGCACCTCGGCTGCCTGCAGCTCTGAGCCAGACGCCCACGTCAGGCTTCACAATGAGAGGGTGTCCTGGAGCCAGCGGCCTGCTGCCCGCGTCTGGCTCTGGGGGAGGAGGCTGCAGTGTGCCAGCCCCACACTGGGCACTGACTCCCTGGGGCCAGCCCCTCAGCTCTCTTCCTCCTAGGACCCACCCTGGGAACCGCCAGCACCCCTGGGTCACAGCATGAGCCCCCAGCGAGTCTACCTGGGCTGGACAGTGCAGGGAGCCTGGTACCCCCGAGGGAGCAGAGCCCCCCCATGTGACCCCCGCAGTGACTCTCAGCCCGGGGGGGGGGCGGGAATTAGCCATAGTACAGACCCCTTCATTACCCTGGCCACTGGAAATTACAGCAAAGGCCATTGGGTCAGGCTGGAGCCCTCTGCCCCCTCCCCCATAGGCCCAGGCCAAAAGAGACTCTTGCTTCCAGCAGCCCCCGCCCCCCTTTGCCCTTCATCCGGGCGGGTCCCACCTGCCGTCCCACACGCAGTGGGGCAGCAATGGGCATTAGGGGCTTGGTCCCAAAGGTCTGGGTAAGGGTGTGGCCGCTGTTTGGGGGGCCCTGCGAGGGGTCTGGCCCAGGCACCAGGGCCACAGCCACCCCTGGCTCGCTGGTGTCTGCAAAGAGCAACCCCCCCACCCATGCAGCTCATAGGGGAAACTGAGGCACACACGCTATGCACACAAATTTCCACTGTGTCACAGAGCCACACGCGCAGGCTCTGCGTGTACACACAACCCCCTCCCCTCTCCGGACAGGGGCTCTGACCACATCCCTTCTGGCTGCGCTGAGCTGTGGGGTGTGTCCCCCTTCTGTTTTACGCTGTCTGAGTCACATCTGACTGCGAAGTGGGAGTGCGTGCAGGACCCTCTGGCTTCCCCAGGACCCCGCCTGGGCGGACTCGCTGTGGGAAGCGCACGGAGGGGCAGATGCTGAATGCTCCCAGGAGAGACCCAGGAGGTGAAGCCGTGTGAGCTTCTTGCCCTGAAGACAGTCTGCTCCGAGGGAGAGGAGGCTCCCCAGAGTCCTGACTGGCTTTGTGGGGAGCAGCCCCAGAGCATCGCCCGGGGACTCCGTGACAGGGGGGAGCCCAGTGCAGTTCACAGCTGACCTCCTGCCCAGGGCAGGCAGAGACCGGTCTGGTACGAACTCCCGCTGGCAGGGACAGGCATCTAGAAAAACATCGAGTTGTGCTGAACAAACTGGTCAGGGCTGGCACAGCCCCCAAGGAGCTCTGGAAATTGTTCTGGAGGTAAATTTCCCCCTCGTTATCGCTGGTCTGATGGTGCCTAGCAGCAACGCCCAGCCTGGGAGCATTCCACCTTCTGTCTGCCAGCCTGGGTGAAGTGTTGGCGTAGGAGTAGGGCTTTAGCTTTGTATTTTGTATAGTTTAAAATGAAGGGTGAAGAATAACGTAGCATGCATTACACGTATTGGAGATGGATATTGAGATGTCACAGGAGGGCACACTGATGACGCTAAAAGATAGGGCAGGCACCTCTCAGTGGGGACAAGAGAGCTGTGATCAAAACCAGCACGGGGTAATTCCCTGAGAGACTGATGAAAGAACAAGATAAAGGAGGAGAAGAACAATTTAAGAAAACAAGCACTCGTCAAACAGCGATTGATTACAGCATGACGGTGCAAAACTCGTTGGTCCCAAGGAAGGAAGATCACTATATAAACAGGGGGCCTTGCCACGAAACTTTGGGTTCGTCCTGCCAAGACTTCCCGGGAGCATCGTGTCGCGATCGACAGAACCCGGCTCCTCCCTACCCGTGATCAACCGAGCTGGCCACTAGATTGATCCGGACTCTGGCCTGGTAACTATGTTGACTGGCAGGACAGTGTGTGTGAGAGACTGAAAGCCTGTGCTAATTGCTGGGTCTCCAATAAACGCGGCGTGTTGCCTTTTCCCTTGAAAAAGCTCCCGCCTGGGCTCCAGTCCCCCCCTCGCGGGCTCTGGGCAGCTGAGCAGCCTGAGCTCCTGGCAGAACCCGTGTTTTCTAATCCTTGAGGCGTTCGTGGGGCTCTCCTCTGCCCCTCTCCAATTTAGCCACATCCTCCCGGAACACGGCCCAAGCACCGAGCCCGATTCCAGCAGGGCCCCACCCAGAGGTAAAATAACCCCCCTTTCCTTGTTTGTACAGCCCAGGCTGGCATGAGCAGTGCCCTGGGAGCTCGCGTGAGCTGGTTCTCCCCCAGCCTGACGCAGGGCCTTCGTGCTGGGCTCCCAGCTGCACTCCGTTACAGTTCACTGCATTAAAACACGGGGCATTGGCCGGCGCCGGTTACCAAGGGACCCAGCTCGCTCTGCAGGGCGCTGATAAAACCGTTGAGCAGAGAAGGGCTGAGAACCTGGGGCTGCAGGGCCCCCGGGAAACGCACCTGCCCACTGCTGTCACCATTACAAGCCATGGTGAGCCCCAGGCGTTACTCCAGTTAACGAGCCCCACGTTCATTTTATCTCAGGCTAGTTCTTTAATCAACCCCACGAGCCTGTCACAGGCTGCTAATGCCTTCACCCACCCTCCTTGCCAGCCCATCAAATCATACCCCATTGTAGTGCCGGGCCCCGGACTGCCCCACGGCAGGGCAGAGGCAGTGCTGGGCTGCTGAGATCCATGCCGAGGTGAAAGCGGGCCAGGCCAGCGAACCGCTAAGAAGCGGCTGCCCGGTAGCGGCCCATAAACACCGACCTTAGAGCACTGTGCTTTAACGTCGCTGCCCCTTTCCCCCCCGCTCCCCAGGGCTGCGGGGGGGGGGGGGGGGAGCTGAGCTGGGGCCCAGTGATTTAAAAGGGCCTAAGGTTCCTGGCTGCCGTGCCTGGAGCCCCAGGCCCTTTAAATCGCCGCTGGAGGCCTGGGCAGGCCGGGCCAGGCAGCCCAGATGGGCTGGCTGGGGGAGGCTGACCCCAGCCCAGCCCCTTCACCCGAGGGGCCCAGAGCCAGCCCCCTGTACCGGTAAGACTTTTAAGTTACTTTCAACCCGGGATCCCCGCCCCAGCCATCGAGCATGGCAGTTACAGAGGAACGAGTAGTGGTAGAAAGCTGTTATGCGGGGTGAGAGACGCGGCACCAGTAGGTTTTGCTGCGCTGACTGAGGACTCCGGTGTAGGGCAGCGGGTTCGAGCAGTTAGAGGCACCTGACTCTAACCCCACCCACTCAGCTGGAGGTAGACGCCCAGCCTGGGACACTTCACCCTGACCAGCTGAAAGTTGGCTGGTGCTGCCTGTGCACCAGGGTCTCCGGCTGCCCCGTGGGCACCGTGTGCCAGAGCTTCGCTCTGTGTCTCGCTGCACGGCCTGGGGGGTGAGGTAGCTCCACGGGCTGTGGGGCAGCACCCCTCTCCCCAGCCCCATGGGCCTGGCCTGCTCTCCTCAGCTAACATCTGTCTGCACCACACTTCACCTGGCTGCTGGCCCTGGACCGGGCTGGGAGCTGCCTCTGCTGTGAGGGGGTGGGGGGGCTCGAGGGGCAGGGCAAACACAGCCAGACGCCCGGCCTCGGGCCCACGGACAGAGCCAGGGGGCTAGCTTCAGCTCGGCTGCGACACCCCAGGGAGGTGGTTTCCGGGCTGGGCTGAGCCAGACCAGGGCCCGGACCAGCCCCACATGGCAGGGGCTGACAGCTGCCCATTCAGCTTTAACGTCCGTCTGTGGAGTGGCTGGCGGGGCCCAGGGCACGGCCTGGCCAGAGCAGGGGGAACTGAGCCATGCACAGGCTGGGCTCGGGCACCTGCGCTGCAGCCGGGGCCGCCCGGGAGGCCCAGTCGGTTCCCAGCTCCCGGCTGGCCCCTCACAGGATGATCTGGTTCTTGAAGCTGCGGCTCAGCTCCTTGTGGGGCAGGACGATGGAGTTGAGGATCACGACCTCTGCGGGGATGGTGACGTTACAGCCTGCGTGGGGAGACCAGAGCCGCTGTCAGCTGGGGGCGAGCCGGAGCCCCCACCCCGCAGGGGGGCCCGAGGCTGCCCCCCACACTCCCCACCCTACAGCCAGGGCCAGATGAGCAGGGAGGGGGTGTCAGACCTACCCAGGATGGTGATGGAGGGCGTGAGCCTGCCGTCCCTGAAGAGGGTCTCACTGTCGATTTTGGCATAGGGGTCGTTGGGGTTCGGGTCACTGGGCGTCCCCTCGACCCGGGCCCAGCGCCCGATGGTGCTGTCCCAGCCCACAATGCTGTTGAGCACACAGGTGTGATCCTGGGGAGACAGCAGCACAGGGTGAGGGGGGCACCAGCCCCGGGCACAGCCTGGCCTCCGAGTGGGGAACCAGAGAAACTAGGGTGGCCGCATAGCGTAGTGTCCTGTAGTGGGGGGGGGCTGCAGGTCGGGAGTGAGGGGCACTAGCAGAGCTGGGGGGGGGGGGGCAGGGGCTGGGGCTAGGCAGGGGGCT